AAAATGTGTCCCAATCATATATTGTTTTTAACAGTAGCAGGAAATTCCATTAAAAATATTCAAATTAAAATTTATATTACAAACATACAATGATTCACTATCAGGTTCTTAAAAAAAGAGGATATAATGCTAACAGGTATTAAACAACCTATGTACAGACAACCACATACAAAATTTCCACACACTGCCATTTTTTCAATAGACTGTGAATCTTATGACAAACAACATAAGGCTAATATTAAGTTTGACAAACCTGAAAGTTTTGGGTCACTTGAGTTGTGGCTGTCTCTACATACTTATGTACTTGATCCTCTACCCATTCACCCAGAGTGTACAGAGCCTATAAAATACGACACTATGAGACAAAATATCATAGCCTACTAAGTAATCCTACTTTTTGACTATTAAATATAAAAGTTTATTTTTGTTTGTATGTTTATTGATATGCTTAGATTTTTGTACCAAATAGTAACCGATTTTTATGGATTTTTGGTACAGACACATATAGTTTATTACTTACCTGGAATGGATTGCCTTAGAACAAAGTTGTAGGTTTTTGGCAATTTAAAGATTCCACACAGGCGAAGCTGCAGAAAAGGGTCAGTTCAGTAAGTACATATTTGATAAAATTGTTGGTGACCACAATTCCTATTGGTGGTGCGGGTCGCCTAAGATGTTCATTGGAAAAAGGAGTTTCCGAAAGTTTACGGGAATGTCCGCAACTGATGCTGCACAGGGGCGTAAAGACGCACGCCTTTATAAATTATTTTGATATCATATTTCTAGACATATTTTTAATTATATAAGGATATCTAAAACCTGGTATTTGTTGTATATATATAATTATATTCTGTACTATTGTGTGTCAGAGCTATTATGAGTATACAGTGTACTCATACTTATTAGGACAATGATGAACTTGCAACATTATACTATATACATACCCTAGACTAGACAGAGCCTAAATTTTTCAAGTGAGCCTGCATACTCAAATCTGATACCATGAGGAATAGCGTAAAGTATCAAAAGGAGTCTCATGCTGATTTTTATAAAAACTACAACTGCATCATTGTATTTTTAAAAATTCAATATTCCTATACAAAAGTCGAATATCATTGGAAAATTTCGCTAATCAGGATCGAATTGTGGGAAGTACTATATTTATACTCATAAATAATAATTTCGTAAACAATTTTGGTGTTACTTTCCTTAAGTTTGCCTAATTTCATTTCACATACGAAAAACTTGAAGAGATTTAAAGATTGCGTAAAAGTTATTTGCATTGCATCTATGAACATTTCCGAAGCGCTCGGTGTCGCGGGGGGCGGCATAAAAATATCGAAATTCTAAAAACATTATTAGATTTAATTGTATCAGGCAGGGCACTGAAACATCTTTTGTAAAAGTAGTTCAGAGGCCACATTTATAAAAGCTTCGGTAATATAATAATTAGTCTCTGGTGCAATGGTTATGTGCTAACATAACATTACCACGCACCAACAATCCCCTTCTTTCTCCTTCAATATCAAGATTATCTTTAAATCTTCAGTACTTATATTTTAAACATATCCTGCCATTTATATAATTATTCAAAACATACACTTTTATTTACAACGGTAACATCGTTATGGTTAACGTGCCGTCATCTGAAGGTCGCGATGCTCATGTTTCTTGCATGCAGGTGCAAAATAAAGCGATCGTAAAAACTAGTTCGGCGACGCGAGTCCATCATTTTCTTTATTTTTATATGCTATTTTGAATTTTCTTGCGTTGACATAAGATAATATAGACTTGCCTTGCGGTTTTTAAACTTAAGTACCCTATTAATCGGTGAAGATCGTTCGCTTACATCTATGTATGCTAGCCGTTACTTTTCAATTTTAAAGCTGTCTGCACGCATAAAAGTGGAGAGACTTATTCTATAGAAAACGCAACGCGTGTATAAATGACTGTAATGGAGAACACAAACGAGCCAAAATGTTACACTAAAATATTTTTTTTTCATGTAAATACATACAGTATTAAAGAAGTTATGACTGCGAGAAGTTTAGACCCTTTTTTTTAAATTTCCAAAATATCGGGCGCTCCCTGCTTTTACGTCACGATTCCAAAAAATACAGTTATTCTTGTATTTTTTAGTAAATTACTTTGACATTTTTAGAAAAAAAAAACGTTTGTCATCTTTATTGCAATATTCGCAAATACGTATACGACTTGCGGGTGCCCGCGACCTCATCTGCATGGTTCTTGATTAATATAATTAAACTACTAAAATATGATTTCTGAGATAAATATTTCCTATGTCCTTTTCCGGGACCCAAACTATTTCTAAGCCAAAGGCCAAAAAAGCAACCATAGAATTAACCAGCATCGTTTGAAATAATTTATGTATAAGGTTGTATACATAAATAGAAGGTCGTCAATATGCAATTTGTTTTTCCGAAAACCGTCACCAGAGGACTGGACAGGGTCCTGAACAAACAGTATAAAATTGTCTTTGCTCTATTTTCCATATTTGAATTATTTTATTCGACTCTGGTGTTTTGGTTAATATATTCTTTGGGATTCTCCTTTCATTTAAATAGGTTCAGTAGTTTAAGAATGAAGAGGACAGACAGACAATAATATTAGTATTATTGCGAAAGTGTGTATGTATGTCTTATGTACTAATAATAATAGTATGGATAGTGGCAGCTTTAATATAAAGCATGCATGACATGCCTGTTTAAAATTATTGAATTTAAGCCGTTAACAGATTAATAAATGAGCAATTTGAGCCGCTTTAGCTTAGAATATCTTTCCAGCCCACTGAAACACGAGCTACGTCAGTTAGCTCATTCTAAGTAAGCTTCTAAACTTTGTTCGGTTTTTTAGCTGAAAGCGAGTATTAAATATATTCTTTAAATTTATTTTAGGCACCAACCAGTAATCAAGCTTAGAAGCTTTATTCCTCGACCGTGTTTGGTTAGCCTTATCTTGAAATATTTTTAGAATATACATGCAGATGTTGCCTAGATGTACTTAATGAATGCATTGGGTAATATCACCAATTGATATAAAAAAAATACATGCTATTTTAGAATTTTAATTTAGGTTCAAAGAAAAAAAAGCGCGTCCCGGATTACACTTTCTGGGGTCAAGAAAATTTAGTTTTCAAATTAAATTATACTTACCCACTTAAGGAAACCTAAGTCTTACTACAGGTTAAATTAAAGCTCAGGAATAATGTGACATTCGAATATGTGAAATTTTTTACGAAGCGGTCCACGGTGAGTTTATTCGTTATGCGGCCGCGTTAGCTATAGTTTTTTTTGGGAATCGCACAGGAATCTAACATTTTTTTGGGATAAAAAGTATCCTATGTCTCAATCCAGGTCATAAACTATATTAGTACCAAATTTCATCCAAATCCGTTCAGTAGTTTTTGCGTTATCGAGTAACATACACAAAAAATACAAAATTTTACATTTATAATTTTAGTAGAATTAGTAGAATATATATACAAAAATACAAATGTCTCGTCTTCATAATATTAGTATAATTATTAATTAAAATCTATTTAGATCACAAACCTTAATTTGCAGAAAGTACGATAAATAAATATATGATCGATGTTTACAAATCGAATTCTACAAATTTTTCCTATTTAATGTGCGCCATTACGGAAAAATGCTCTAGGAAAATTATAACAATTATCAACATCAATAAACTTATGTTTTGTATGTAACCTTTGTCTGAAACAGTTTAATTGCATTACGTCAAACAATAATTTCGTCACGAAATCGTCGCGTATTTCACGCATGACCAATCATTAACCCTCAGATTAAATCAGACTCTACCTATTAAGCGCAACCGCACATTGAGCCACTAGTCGCGGCCACTAGACGCTATTACTAGTGGCTCAGTCAAGCCACTAGACGCAGCATCCAAGAGCACACAATGGTGGCGAATTCCGTTCATTTCCGTCGAGAGCATTTATGTGAAGGAAACACTATATTCTGTGCTATTGATGTGCATAGTCTCAGCAGTTACAGTGGCCGAGTGAGCGCGCGATGCGAGCGACAAAATGCCGCCACAACTAGCGATCTGGAGCGACTCCTGCAGCGACTCCTGCAGCTTGTGGCTCGAACGCAGCCACTCAAACGCACGCATAGTTTGCGCCGATACTATAGAAAAACAGCTTGTGGTCACGTTTGGTGGCCGCGGCTAGTGGCTCAATGTGCGGTTGCGCTAAATCACTGCATTGGTCTATCTCGGCTCGCTGTTCCAAAATGGAAGAGCATTACCCATTGTTATCACTGATGCGGTTTTTTTCTGTTAAACAAATGACAATCGAGCTGAATTTGGTGACGAGACGATACATCAGAATGGATCGATTCATAATCTTCATTTGATCACCAGGCCATTCCTGACCTCAGCTATAATGTGGTGACGCACTGCGTTAATTCCTTTACATAGAGTCTAGAACCTAATATACCTATTACAACCGCACTGGAGTGATGTCTATTTATGTAGTTTTCGAAAATATAAAAGATGTCGGGTCACGAATTAGAGATCCTTGTTTCTGTTTAATCCCGAAATTATGAAAGTTCAAGTCGACGACGGCCTGTGATTTGAAGCGCTTGCGCCGGTTTATTTTTGAAATTAAATCTTTATTTTTTACAACAACGGCAAAATTTTCCTTTTGTTACGCGCAGTCGTTCGCATTCTCGGTAGACATTAAACATTACAATACAAACACAATGTTTTCTCAAAACCGCAAAACTGCAGAAATGCACCGGAGTACTTAATATATCTGCTTTAGCAATAATAAATCTATTTTAAAACCTAATAAGTACGTTCAATGTTATCTTTACGTTATTATCTTAAACACAGAATATAACTAAAGAAAGAAATATAAAATATAGGTTTTCTTACATCAAGTGGCCGAGGTCAAAGACCAAGTTACAATTTTCTTTCAATAAAAAAAACGACCGTTTCGCTGCGGCATATCGCGCAGCCAAGCACTATCGCACAATCGTTATTTATGTGGGGTAAACGTCGGTTCGTGTTATTAAATTAGTTTTTCTATCATTATAATACATAATGTTAGATAGATAATTATGCTCGTGTAGGCAAGATGCCCGGGCGTGTATGCTTTCATTGACATTCTTATACGAGACACCGCGTCAATCATACACAGCGCGTTAAAGTTTAAAAAGTCAATTAAAAAAAACATTTATTTCACTTTACGTTTCATGCATCGGATGGGTGCAAATTCGCCGGTCGAAGGTTATCAGTGCATTCGGTTTTTAAAAATAAATTGAAAATAAGATAAAGAGGATTTTCGTTTTGCCACAATGGTGGAGAGTCAGTGCGTTGCGGCCGGCCCCGTGAAAACTTACATCATGAGTGATTTACTGATGAAGTTCGATCTCCACGCCACCAATGATTTCATGAAGATCGCCGTCGCCATCGCCGGCTTTTACATGGGAATCTTCTATCGTATGTACCAATAACTACTTTTTAACAAGGTGTTTTTTTTTTATTAAAAGAAAAGTGTATCTATATGCTTTTAATTTTTTTATAGGATGCCAGTGTTTTTTTCATTCAAATTTAACTTGATTTAATTTTTTTCTTAAAAAGTTTTTTTATCGACTGTCGTTTTTAATAAAGTTTACATTGCACTGGCATTTGAGATTGCTTATTTTTATTAGGGCAATCCAAAGTGCACATGCGGTTTAAACCGCATAAACTCTGAGGAGGCCAATTTCCTCATCGCGCGGTTTCGTGATACAAATACCAATATTATTATAATACCACAAATTCACAGCCTTATTTCATTACGTAGACTGTGCTCTGATTCATACAATACTCCGTACAGAAATACTTACGACTACTGTTTTTTTTTATTTTGCTTACGCTATATGTATGTGTTCGTCTGGAACAGTTCTACGTTGACACAAATAAATTATGTAATTACAACGGACTTATGTTATGATGCTTGCATTGCATCGTATTTCACAAAGTTTAGCTACGTCAAATTATAAGTATCTGGAACTATTCTTTTGCAGAATTGTTTTCACTAAAATACCTAAGACGATATGTGATTATTTTAAATAAATAAATATTTCCAACTGTCTCACCAAAGTAAGCACTGTAGGCTTATGTTATGGGATACTAGGCTAACGGATAGAATACATATACTGATACGTATATTTATACCGAAATGCATATTAAACATTCATGACTGGAGTACAAATGCTCGTATTCATCACTGCCCTGCCCCTACCGGGATTCGAACCCGGGACCTCTCGAGTTGGCGACACCTCGAAACCGGCGTGCAAACCTCTCGGCAACGGAGGTCGTCGAATTTTGATTGTGTGTCATTACCTACTCATTAGGTATAGATGACCTGAAGGTTTTATCTAGTGTTTTTAATTCCAAGTCATCGGGTGTCTTTAGGTTATGTTACCCTTTGTTTTTGATTTTTCTGCTTTCCGCATCTGTCACCGTATTTACTTATTCGGTGTAGTGTAGATATAGCTCTGCCGTTCTCAAACTAAAGTGTGGCTAAGTGACATATGGTTGATTTTTCAATCTTAAATTGCATCTTATAAAGTTTTTAATTCTCTATCGATCTGTATTTAACAAGTATTCGTATCTTTTATAATTTAAGTCTAAAAATCCGTCATGTGATGAATGGTTACAAAATAGCAATAATTTAAAGTTTACACGTTGTTTTTGGCCATATCTCAAAAGTGGGTTTTGTCATTTAGCCGCGATTTAGCTTGAGGACGGCAGAGCTTTAGTTCTTAAACCTATGCCTATGACACTTACAATTAACGTGGCTTTCTATTTAAAATAAATTTCAAAATCGGTTTAGTAGATCCAGAGATTACGCTTTAATAATGTTCTGCCGTCCTGTAAAGAAGGTAGTAAGGAACTGTGACTTGATTTTGAGAAAATGGGATTTTGAATTTATTTCTAAAAAAATAATGTCGGAGCTCCTTACTGCATTCTTCTAGGACGGCAGTATTAATATAGATGGATACTGTACTGTATTCAAATATTGTGAAAATTGGATTATTATAACCCTTTAGTTGTGAATACCAACCAAAATACTAAAATTTAGCGTGCTATCGTCTTCAAATAAAAAAAAATCCTTTGAAATCTTGAATTATAAGTAACTAATAATACGTTATTAATAAAAACTATTTATCTTCGTAAAAATGCACGCATTTTATTAAAAAAGTCAAAGATTTTTGCAGCAAAGGCGTAAGGTATAAATACTCGTAAGTAAACATTTGAATCGGATAATGTTGATTGATCGATAAAATTAGGTTAATCAAGAAAGAAATAGGTGATTTTTCTTAACAAACAAATATTAGTAATCAAATCCAATCGATCACAATGTCAGCAGTGTCACTTTCAATACGATGAAATTGAAATTCCGTTGATCAGCTATTTATATTTATGGGACAGTCAAATTTTCTTCATATCATTTAAATATATATATATATATATATAAATAGCACATCTTGATAATACGTTTGCATTAAGTGCTCCAATTTTATATTTAACTAGTGTGTGCCCGCATCTTCGTCTGCTTAGATTAATTAGTTTCCCGTACAAACTGCCACCCTTCTTTTCACCCCCCTTAATGGACGAATTTTGGAAAAAAAACTATCCATTGTCCACAAATGTATACCAAATTTAATTTAAATCTGTTCAGCGGTTTAATTAAGCGTGTACAGGTAACAGACAGACAGAAAGACACACTTTCGCATTTATGCCTAATATTAGTTTGGATTTTGTGTATAATATTGAGTTTTTGCGCAGTGAGTAAACTTGTCATACTAGAGTTGCTGTAAGCTAAGCTATCCGTAAACAGAGATTCTCAAACTTAATCATTTCCATACCAAGTGCCCCCCAAAATTATTGTCTTATTGTATTTTCTACGTTATAAAATTTGTTACTCCGTGACCATGGCGCTTGCAACAGTGAAATATCGGAAACTCGCTAAAAACAAGGTCATGTATCTTACATGTACCGTAACAATCCTGTAAATAACCTTTACCATAATGTTAGTGAGTAAAATTTGAAACAATATATTTTAAATTCACTTTGTAGATAAATTACACGTTACCTGTAACTAACAAATAACTTAATATATCAGTATTGTTTCGATGGAGCTGCCATGTCATTGGACAAAAGCTACTAAACAAAAAAGAAAAAAAAATAGGGCAGTACTACAGACGACAGATTTAAAATAATTTTTGAAGAAAGTAAGACATTTATAATTAAGTACAAGATAACAAACAGCTTATTCAAAGTATAAATTAAAATAACTCATCTATACTAATATTATAAAGAGGAAATAGGTACTTTATTGTTTGTTTGTATTGAATGGGCGCCGAAATACCTGGATCAGTTCGAAAAATTCTTGCATATTAAAATCCTTCATTTTCCGTGATGAATATTGGCTATAGTGTATTTCCAAAAAAGGTAGGGTCCCGTATGAAAACTCCGATAATGTAAACGTGTGTAAAAATACCAATAAATAACCTTATGTCGCGTACGCAGCGGAAGTCATTGACAATAGAGCAAAGTGAGGTACTAAAGTTTTATAGGGGATATCAATATCTACAAAAAAGTCCACGATATGTGATGTCTAACTATCACAGCTATGTCACAACTAGATTTCCCATGCGGGTTCACCCGTGTTAATTTGAAGAAAAAGATTATAGTGAGTCAAACTTAAAACATGGACAAATGCTGTCGCTGACTTTTTTACAGAACTTTTAAAGGGGAACAATTCCGTTTTACATGGTTTTTGTGTAACTTTAACCTGTTTACTCAGCTCACTCAAATGGATTATTTTTCCCTTTTTTTGCAAAATTTTTAATCGATGCTCCGCTGCTACTGGTCGTAGGCTGACGTTATATAGCCTATAGCCTTCCTCGAAAAATGCACTATTTAATACAAAAATATTTTTTCAAATCGGAACAGAAGAGCAATGATGCATTCGGTACAACGTGTTCTAAACTACGCAACAATTTTTTTACTTGGAATGGAAGATTTATAATTATTATTATTATGAAGAAAGTCATTGTATACAATACAAGCATTTGAACAAAAACTATAGTCTATACTACAGCTCTACACCGAAGCGAAGCGAGGGCGGGCCACTAGTTTTTTTTTTTAAATAGGTTAAATGTATGCCTAAGTACGATACACGTAATATAATGTACATAAATATTCATATTATTTTCATAAAATTTGTTTTGTACTGGGTTAATAAATAAATTTCGTATACTGACCACCACATGTTTAGTAAAATGTGCAATATAGATTGGGTTCAGAATTCAGTGCCACTTCATCCAATCGTTACATGTTATTGTCTGTAATCGTTTTATTTTTGTTAACTATAATGAGCTATCATTAAATATATTGCAATTAGTTTTAATTACTTATACCTATGTGCGAGTATATATTCTTCTTTGAGAGAGAACATAACAAATTTAAGTCACGTTTTGGTTTCGATGAAGTACTTCTGATTCGAACTACAAAAAAAAATAAGGAGTAGATATTTAGTTTTTAAGCATTTAACATGTTTATATCTAAAGAAAATTTTACTAGAAAAAATTCCACTCGGACCAGGCAGCAAACGGGACTTGAACCCGCACCCTCCGCTATCTAATTTTATTTTTTTCCGAGATCGAGTAACAAACATACAAACTTTCACATTTATTATATTAGTAGGATTTTCAAATAATTTATAAAACATATCACTCAACTGTCGATAATACACTATCGATTTAAAAATGTTTATTCAGCATTCCACAAAGTAACAATACATAATCAAATAAATCATATAATTAAGGAGCAATATAATTAATATAGAGGAGCTCGATGGCGCAAGTGGTTAGCGCGTTCCGCTGCGATCGTTGAATTTAAGCAACTTTCGAAGTGGTCGGTCATTGGATGGGTGACCGAAAATTTACTATTTCGAGCTCCTCCGCGCTTCGGAAGGCACGTTGAGCCGGCTGCATCTGCAGGCGTTAGCACCCACCAACCCGCACTGGGCCCGCGCGGTGGGTCATGGCCCAATCTCCCTATTCCATCCATAGGGAAGGCCTGTGCCCCAGCAGTGGGGACATTAATAGACTGATGATGATGATGATAATGATAATGAATAGGATGTTCGACTGCGTTCACGTAGGTATCAACATAAACATTTTCCTAGGCTTAGTTCAGCTAAGATCAATTAACAAAATAATTATATATTTTTAAAAATTTGGCCTTAACAATCGTGATTTCAACAAAAAAGTCGCTTAGTCGTTCGAGATATTCTCATTTTATAATCTTAAACGTGCGATAATACAGATATTTTATCTATGTTTTTTCAATACAATAACAATAAAAAAGAATCTGCATAATTCTGGAAAGTTCTATTTAACACTTCTGTCATTGAAGGATTGCGGATTGCAAGGTTAGTGTAT